ACAACTTTCAACTTCAATACTAATCCTTCTACTAAGTCCCTGACAAGCTCTGGGTACTCAGCTCATAAATAGTAATCTAGATCCCACTTCTCACACTGCTAAAAGCCTCGGTCTTTTGCTAATAATCCTACCCCATTTTACAGATGAAGAAACTGAAGCTTAGTGATCAAGAGACTTGCTCAGTCAGATGTGATGAAGCCAGGATTCAAATCCAGTTCTGTGTCGCTTCAAAACTCCAATTACACCATAGGGCCTTTCAGAGACATTCTTAAGTAATCAAAGCTAACCTAATAGCAAGAATTTCATAATTTCCCTTGAGATAATTCGAGTTCTTGGAGTGTTACAGAACCAGGTTTGGGAGGCCTAAACAGAGATAAGAGGAAAATTCTGAAGTTTAAATTTAATTTCCTTCCATGTCCTCTGAGTAGCCCCTATTAAAGGCCCTAATAAAGAGTGACCAACAGAGAGTCAGTGAAGCATCGGCCTAAATAATACTCCTCAAGACAGGCTGGCTGGATGGCACTGACCGTTCTGGGTGGCTCATAATGACAGCATCTAGCTCAGCATCTTTCTGGGCTGTTGATAGTCAACAAATATTCACAAGATGGAATGCTAACACAGGCAGAACCAAAGTAAACACGTGCACAGCTCCCACTGTTTTATTTTTAAAGTCTTCCAAAATTATGTAAAGTCAAACTACTTGGTGAGAGGGAATCTTATTTGAAAGGATGACTAAACATATTTAGCACAGATAATTGTATCCATTCATTCCTGTAAGTAAACATACATTTGACACAGCTATTAGGTATATAAAACGTGGGCAGGTCGGGACATATTTTTCATCCTTCCACCCCCAAAAAAGATTTCCACCAAAGTGATGATTTGGAGAAATTATTGGCAAGGTCCTGTGAAACAACTGCATCATTCCTTGACCTGAAATAACTTGACCTCTGGCGACAGTTCACTAACTGGCCAGTCATTGGCACTGCTAGTTCTACGTGGTAATATTTCTCAGAAAATTTTAAGAACTGATGTATTTTTTACAAACACATAACAAATGCAATTTTGACTTTCACACATGATCAATTAAATAATTTATTTGACAAATGGCCCTGGGGTTTACATTCAGCGTGTGGCTTGCTGGGTAGCAAAACGTTTATAGTTGAACTTGGCATATAAATTCACATACAAATGTGAGCTATGTTTTTTGTCTAATCATTTAGTGTTATTTTCTCAGCACCTCTTAGCAATAAAAATATCCCCATGTCCTCTTTTCTTTGCAAGTTCCATGATGAAAAAAATCCTGAATATGCTTAAAAATCCACTGCCTGCTTATGAAACATAAAGATTTAAGAAAACATGGCACGTACTCAAGTAGACCAGTTTGTTTTTAAATATTTTAATAGTGTCCTCCGCTGCACCGGGAACTAAATGTGTATTGTGCCCAATTTTACATCCAGTGTGTACTATACTTTGATCATTCTATCAAAAGATCAAAATTTAAATATTATGTAAATGATATTTTATACATGTTCTCCTTTGCACAAAATCAAACGGCAAACTTGTTTGTTCTCTAAACACATGAGAATATATAAAGAAGCAACAAACTTAAACAGAAGAAAATACTACTTCATTCCATTAAAAAAAATGCCCTCAGGTATCAATTAAAATAAAAAGCCTTTATGTCTTAACATAATCCTAAATGTCTATGTTTATGCTTTCAAATTTTTAAGCATATTCTTAATGTTTATTTTAAAGGTTCTAGAGTTAATTATGCATGTTATTTTCACAAGAAATGCTATGTCAGTTCTCTTCTTGAAAACGCTGATAGGTTATATAAATCAACAGAAATGACAGCAGAAATTAAAGAACTACAATTCGGTATTCAACAATTTTAAAAAGTTGTCATTTCCATAACAATTAAACATAAAGTATGAACCTTGATTGGATTCTGGTTTTAAAAAAACAGCTATAAAAGACATTTTAGGACAATGGGACAAATGTGAACATAAACAGGATAGTAGATGTTTTGAAATTTTTGTTAATTTCCTCAGGTGTGGTAATGGCTCTGTAGTTCTTTAAGAAAATATCTTTACTTTTAGTGCTTGTATGAGATAATTTTTAGGGATAAAATATCTTGATGTATGAAACCAACTTGATGCATGAAACTGACAAATGGTCCAACTATTAATAATAAAAGTATTTGCACATATAGGTAAAAACATGAAGCCAATGTGGAAAAATGTTAATAATAATTGAATCTCAGTGCAGGCTATACCTATGTTCATTGTAGTCTTTCAATCATTTTGTGTATACAAACATTTTCACAATAAAAAGTTGCCGGGAGAAGAACAGTCATTTTTACTTAAACATGGATGTATGTATATTGACGCCTGAAGCAAACTAGGTACAGATATAATTTTGCTTTACATGGACATACAATGTTTCATTTTCCAGTAGCGGTATGCTTCAGAGAATCAATTTTCCCCATTGACCCAGAGAAATTATGGCAACCCTTCTGGCCAAGACCACAGGGAACAGCTGACTGACACACACACACACCCTGAATTAGAGCAGCGGCATCAGGCTCCCCAGAGGGTAATTCACTCTGACCAGCGAGTTTGCATGGCAACCGGTGCCCTTGGAAAAATCAGGCTTGAGAACGGACACTTGTAAGCCAGGAACCTTCACAGCAGATATAACCTATGACTTTGCCAGGCTCCATTTTCTGGAGATAGCATATGACATGAAGTTAAAACTAAACAAATTTAAATCATCAACTCTACTCATTCAGGCACGAACAATGGATTCCAGTCTTCTTTTGGTGGGCTACCAGGTTCGATATTAAGCAAAAGATCTGAGATGCTACCCCAAAATTCCAACTAAACCAAATAACAAAGTCCAGGAATTATATAAGAAATTTTAGAAAGAAAATCTGTAAGCATTTGATTTACAGATAACTGAAGTATTAAAAGTAGACTCAGACCTCTGAAACAACACAGCAGGACGTTTCTTATCCACAAAGAGAGGCTTTTTGTTTTGGGGTTCAGATCTCAAAGGTTTGGGGCATTAGTTCACTATTACATCAGAGTGCAAACCAGCCACTCATGACTTGCTGCAGAATCTGTTATTCTTTTTAATTGGACCAAACTGAAACTGAGCAGTAAGCACTGAATTTTCAAGAGGCCCAATGCAATCAAAGACTCTGCATCAATTGGATCTTTTTTTTTCTGTCTTTCTATCTTTTCTTTTTCACACATTATATTACATTACATCATATTTACAAATGTTGTTGTCTCCTCTTTTTCTTTCTCTCCCGTCTTTCTTCCTCCCCTCTGGTTCCTCTAGGTCTACCAGGCCCACTCAAAGGCATTGCTGTCACCAGGTTAAACTTCCGGCTCTGGAGCTATAAAGAATCTTGATGTGGCCCATAAAGCCTGACGGAATCGGGCCGGGAGCTAGAATACTTACAGGAAGAATGGTTCACGTTCCTTTAACCAAAGGACCATTATCCTGTTTATGGGTTGTCGGGGGCCCTTCCCCTTCTAGTTACTGTTGCCTGCCTTTGATCTTCAACCAATCATTTATACCTCCCTTTAAGAGAAGCAGGAGACCATGACCCTGAAATCTCATTTTGCTTCCGTTATGCCAGTAAGAGGCATGACACGGGAGGGGTGAAAATGTCAATAAGTTTGGGGAATATCTTACCCAAGAAAGTCCTGAATTCTGTTCAAAGTCCCCATTTTCTGATTTTTTTTTTTTTTTTTTTTAAGTTTCTGGTCTATCCGTAAGCACTAAGTTAAGTCTGGAAGGAAATACAAAGTGCTTTTTTTTAAAAGTTCTTCATCAGAAAGGTATGAGCACATTATATCTGTTTACCAAAAATTTACTGTCTACGAACATACGCTCCCATGAGTGAAGCATGAATTAACTATGGGCCCTCTATCTCCAGGAAACCTGAATGAACCTGCTTCAAACACTCTGAGGAGGAATGAATCCCTGGCAATATTCCAGCCAAAAGGCCAGGCGCCTCCTCTGCCTCCTTGAGGCCCGCAGGCCCCACAGGGAACTGGAAAGAAGGTTCAACAATTAGGGCCAAGGACCTACAGATGAAAACAGTCTGGGTGGGAGGATGCTCACAGAAGTAGAGAAACATCTGCCTCAGGGCAGCAAGGCAGCCTTTTGTAAGCACTGGCCAATGTTTAACCATTTGCAGCCTCTAGGAGTGATCTGAGCCCTTTCCTGAGGCTTATCCTCTCCCTGCCTCAATTTCTTTACCTGTCAAATGGGAATAACAATAGTCCCCCCCCCCAAAATGGTAGGGTCTGTAAAGATTTAATGAGTCAGCATGCACAAAGAGCTTGGAACAGGGCCTAACTTGTGGTAAGTACTGTATAAATGCGAGCTAATTGCTATTTTAGGCTAGAAGCACATCTATAGAAAAGCCTGCAAGGAAGCTTACCTTCTTTAATCCACACCGAGAGAACTACTACTAACCAGATGGAAATATCCACGTCTCAATTCTTTAGTTCCCTGTTTCAGGATCTCTAGAGTGGTCTCAGCTTGGACCAAGTAAGATTCCTTTCCATAACAGCTAGGTTCAGATATAAAACCTCAGTATGGCAACACTATATGATTAAAAATGGAAATTGACATGTGACTAAAATGGAAAGCTATCTGACATGAACTTCAGAGCCCACACGTTCTCAGTGTATAAGTTCTGCAGCTTCTAACAATTGTCCCCAACTTGGCAACCCTGTGAACCTCTTAAAGTAACCTTCTGACTAAAGCCGCCCACAAATTACCCTATACATTAGAAAGACAAAAATGCAATGACCTTTAACCAAGTACATGGCCCCAGAGTCCATGGCATAAACAGGTAACTAGCTGCTGCCACACCTGGGTGACACAGCAAGTCAATTCTTCAAAACAGGCAGAACGGCTCACTTGTATGCTCTGATGCTGTGCCACAGTTGGCACACCATGTTGACAATACTTACGCATTACAATAGGGCTTCTTTTCATAGCCTTTATAGTTGTTCATGTTCAGAGCCATCTTGCAGACTTCACAATGGAAACATCCTTTATGCCAATACTGAAAAAAAAATATGCAAAATTTTAGTACGATGCCAGTTGTTTCCAGGATGGGTACAGAAAAGACATATTTTTAGTGCCTCGTGGTCACAGCTTTTATTTGAAAAAACTACAACAAAATGATTGATGGTAACGGTGGATGTGTTTGCCTACTTTCGGTTAAGTAAATAAAGCAGGCAGCTATTAAAATTGAGTTTTAGATGAATCCCCACCACCACATACAGGCTCAGACGGAAGAACTGTCAAGGCTCTGCTCATATTGCACTTCTCTGAGCAGCCAGAGTGGGATTCTGAGCTTGGTTCGCGGAGGAACGGAGCCTGTGAAGTGGCTTCAAAAGGAAAACGACTCCAGTTCAAAGTGCCTAAACACCGTGCTTGTAGGATCTCGATAAATAAGCGACCACAGGAAGTCAGGCAACCCGCGGTGGCAGGAGGCGGACTATGGAAGTACACTTCGCCCCATCCCTGTCCAGCTTCCACTACACTGCGGGAAAGGTGGACTCCATCCGTTATGACTGTGGGGATGGCAGCGTGCTGTTATGAGGCATCTGTGTCACCACACGCAGATTTCACAGGGACCGCCTCCGGCTGGTTTCAATTGTCAGGCACTCAGGATAGCGCCGGGGTCTGTCTCCCAGGCTGTTCAACTCCATCCGCGCCTGGGAAGGGCCGGCCGCAGGGCTGCGGGGGCCGCGCGAAGGCCACTTCCTCTGAAATTCCCCAACCGGGTGGACGAGCCCCCGTGGGTCCTGCTCGCCGCGCGGAGCCGGGGCTCCCCGGGGGATTATTCTTAGCACTGCGGCAGCGGCCGCCCCTGACATATTAATTACTATTTGCCTCTCCATCTCGCCGCCGGCATGGGAAGCGCTGGGGCGGAGAAGTCGGGGTGCGGGCGGATCCTCCGGACCCCGGGTGCGGGGCAGGAGTGAAGGTGGGAGGAGACGCGGCTGGCCGATCAGCCCTTGGGTGCGGGGCCAGGCTTCCTGGCCTGGGGCCGCACTCCACCCTGCGCGCCCCACAGAAGCTCGGCCGAGGCCAGCGCAACC